TTATACACTGCATTGTTATATACATAACAATTAATTTTATTTTATATATATTTTTATTTTTGTGTTTACTGTAACTATATACGCATATGCATACTGTATGTTGTTACTGTAAATGATACTTAAAAAAACCCAGAAAATATCTGCTGGATTTATAGTTTATAATGCATTTCATACGGTCTGAAGTCTTTGAGTGTCATGTCTCTGGTGTTTCAGAGGCTGATCTCATCCAGATTTCAGACCTCCTCAATGACTTTATTACAAACATCAACACTAATGCTGAACATGCTCTGCGTTTGGACACAATCAGTCATATTTCTCCAAACAGAGACGCTATACCTCTCGTTCGGTGTGAATAAAGTGCATTTAAGTGCAGAAATGTTTGAGGAAAACCACAGACCTCCACTGCAGAAAGATGATCATAAAAACATGCTCATGCTTTGAATGCGTATTGATTCTAGAAAATATATGAAAGATAAAAACAAGTTCTGCTGATGGACAACAGATCTGTATTCATGAGGAGGTTGCACTTTTGCATTGTTAAACTTTGCAATTGAATATGAAACGATCCCACACTATGTTTACTCCATGTGAGGCTGGAGTCTTACCTGCTTCCCCATGATGATGATGATGATGATGATGAAGATGATGATGATGAAGATGAAGATGAAGGGAATGAAGCCGCAGTTCCTGATGAACATCTGAGAGAAATGCTGTTTTCCTGCAGCAGTGAATCAGCTCCCGTCCGTCTGTCTGTGGTATTATTATCTGGGTGTGTTGCAGGCAGGTTCACACAGGAGCACAGTGGCCTTCAGCCCGTCGCTTAACCCTTACAGAACAACACTCGCATTACTTCAACACTATCCACTTCAGAGAACATTTCATTTAGGCTCTTTTTAAATATAAATTAATATATATTAAATGTATTATTATTATTATTATTAGTATTATCATTATTATTATTATTATAAATATTATTTTTTATTAAATACATTATTAATATATTAAAATGTATTTTATAAAAAAAATTAAACAATATATTATTATTATTATTATTTTGAAATAATATTTCAAATAATAATTCTGAAATGCATTATTTCATATATTTCTCTTCATTATTTAATATAATT